GTGTGTGTGTGTGTGTGTGTGTGTGTGTGTGTGTGTGTGTGTGTCTCCCAGGGATCAGAGGTCCTGTGATGTTGTCAGTGGCATGGCTCAGGAGGTTTTGAGAGGCGGGGTGGGCTTCTAACTCCCACTAGAGGACGTGCCTGTTTTCAGGGTTGGGGTGTGTGTGGGAGCAGGTTCCTGGCTCGCTGAGAGGGGGTTCCTGAGACCCCAGGCAGCTATGCAACCGCCGTGCTCTGCACTGATTCAGCAGGAGGAGAGCCAGAGCCCCAGCGTTGCTTGTCGGGCACTGCCCACTGGTGCCAGCATCTGCAGACTCTGCGCCTTGCCCAGGCTGGGCTCTCATGGTAGCTGTGGGCACTGCTCTAGCCGTTGGCACTAGCTAGGTCACTTCTGTCTTTCCACCTGCCGGGAGCTCTGTAGGGCCCTTAAGCCTTTGGCTGGGGTCCTCGGAGCATGTTCCCCTAGGACCTGCATCTCTCCGTCTGTTTAACAGTCATCAGACTGGATGCTTCCAACCTCCAGCTTCAGTGTCTGAGCGCCAGGCTGTGACCGCTCCAGAGGGTACACGGGTGGGTGGCGGGGCCCTCGGCTGCTGCCCTCCAGCAGCTCCAACCGGCCACCCTGATAAGTGGCTGTGAGCTTGCGGCTCGGCCCGGCAGCCAGCAGGCAGCTGGGCCAGTCTGGCCAGGCTCCAGAGGCGCTGAGCGGGTTAAAGTGTGCGCCAGGCCCGGCGGGCGGGCGGGGGAGCGGTGGGGAGTGCGAGATCCTCCCCGTCTCCCCGTCTGCCTGAAGCTATAAAGGCAGCCCCGGCTGGCCGCCGGCACTGCAGCCCCGCCCTGGGAACCCCGCTCTTGCTTGCTCTCTCCCCGGCTGGGCTTCGAGGCTCTTTGAAGTGGGAGAGGTGAGGAGGCGGGAGGAACAGGGAGAGTTGCTGCCTCCTGCACTCACACCTGGTGGCCGCCAGCCCCAAGCGCTCCAGGGCTTGCGGGGAGGACAACCTGCTGAACCCACCAGGTAGGCCATCTCCCTGGCCCTGCCTGGCACCTCAGCCCTCCTGGGCACCAGGTGCAGCAGTGGACCAGCCCACTCTCTGAGAGGGGCCGGCCTTGAGGGACCCAGCACCCTGGGGGGCAGTTATGTAACCGGGTGGGCAGTGGGGAGGGGTCCCGTCGCTGCCCACCCCCCTGTGGGGAGGCCACTCTGGCTGGCAGGAGGGCGGGTGTCTCTGGCCCCCAGCAGGAGGCTCCCGCGTGAGCTGGCCTGGCCGGGAGCCACTGTGTCTGGCTCCGTAATGAGGACCATGTGTGGGGCGGCTCTACACCTGTCCTCAGCTGCAGGCGGGAGCCGCATCCGTGAGCCTTGGGGCCTCGGGGCCATGTGGGGCTGCAGGCAGACAGGGATGGGTGAGGGTCCCCAGACTTCAGGGTGGATGGCTGCTTGGAGGACAGAGATGTTCTGGGCGCTGTCTGAGAACCTGCAGGTGTGTAAATGGTGGGGCTGATGGCTAGGAGAGGGGCTGATTTGGGGTTTGCTGGGGCCACTTTCCTACCTTCCTGCCCTGGAATCGGCTGGTGCTGCGGAGAGGCCCTGAGTTTGCTGTCTCGCTGCATGCTGTGCGGCTTTGGAGAAGTTGGCTCTATCTCTGGACTCCAGGCTCAAGGGGGAGGACTCGGTGGTTCTGATACCCCTTCTGTATTGGGATGGTCGGGGGCCTGCAGGAACGAGGCACACCCTGGACAGAGGCCACGGAGGGCAGGGGTCTTTGCCAGGGAAACAGGTGGGCTCAGAGCTCTGAGGAGCAATGCGGTTCTTGACTTGACTGTAAAAGAGAGGGAGACCCTCCCTGAGACGGATGGACACAGTAGTTACAACAGTGGACTTGAGGGCAGTGGAGATGGTGAGGGTGACACAGGATTAGGGCAGAGTTTTGACTGGAACTTGGGTACTTGGGTCACTATGAGTCTCAGCTGACTCAGTGACCCCTACCACCACCAGGGAGTAGTGTTTTGGGTAGAGGCTGCCTTCTGCCACCCTGATCCCACCTGTCCACAGGACGGGTGCTGATGTCCACTGCCTCACCTCAGCTGTGGAGGGTTCTCTGGGGCCCAAATGATCAAACAACGGGCACTATTTCACCCAAGCTCCTCTCCTCAGATAATCTCTCTCCAGGTCTGTGCTCACACTCCTCAGCTGTCCAGGGTCTCAGCATTCAGACATCCCGCTTACCCCAGGATGGCAAGCACACCTTCAGGTCATAGCAGAGCCGTGGCAGGCATTGCCAGCCACCTTCTGAACTCTTGCTGAGACTTCCAACAGTCATTACCAATCAATCTCAGATATTCTGGGGCCCAGGGCCTGGGGTAGATTTGCAGAGCACTTCCCCAAGGTAAATCCTGGTCATATGAAGAGGAATTGGGCCTGGCCTGGTAGTGACAGCAATCTAACTTCCTAGGATGGATGGCAGACAGTGTTGTGCACACTGGTCCCGGTCTCTGCTGGTGATGACACTTGTGGCTGTGGGAGTGGAGTCCATTGGAGCCGTGGTGAGTGGGGCTGCAGATCAGCCTGTTCCTGAGTTCTGTGGTCACTCCATGTGGACTGACTCTGGCAGAGCCTGTGCGATAGGCCTGGGCACCTGTCAGTGTCCTGAGTGTCCTCCCAGACCTCGGCCTCTGTCCCAAGAACCTGTCCCCCCAGAATGTTCAGACTTGTTCCTGAGTTGAGTTGGGAAGAGAGGGCAGCGGCCAGCTTCAGCTGGGGAGAGGGACGGAGCTAGGCACTCTGTGTCCTGGAGAAAGTCAGGTGACCCAGTGGTGACACTTCAGGGACCCAGGGGCCACCTGGGCCACATGGCTGAGGATCTGACTCTACTTTGGCCTGCTGGGAAATGGCCATGTTCACTGGCATGGCAGGTCAGTGTCTCTGCAGGCTCCAGAGCCTTCTAACACTCCATGGGGGCTTCTCGCCAGGACAACAGTCCAGCATCCAACAGCCTGGAAGGGGGCACGGACGCCACAGCTTCCTGGTGGGGAGAGTGGACCAAGTGGACAGCATGCTCCCGCAGCTGTGGGGGCGGGGTGACCTCCCAGGAGCGGCACTGCCTGCAGCAGAGGTGTGTAGCCGGTGGCCAGTGGCTGGTGGCCGAGGGGATGGCACGGTGGCCAAGGGGACGGCACAGTGACTGAAGGGATGGCATGGTGGCTGAGGGGACAGCACAGTGACTGAAGGGATGGCATGGTGGCTGAGGGGACAGCACGGTGGCCGAGGGGATGGCACGGTGGTCAAGGGGACAGCACGGTGGCCAAGGGGATGGCACAGTGACTGAAGGGATGGCATGGTGGCCGAGGGAACAGTACGGTGAGGGCTCGGCCTAGGAGGGCTCGGCCCGGGAGGGGTGGTGGCGGGAGCAGCAAGAACCCTCGGGGTCTCGGGTGGGGGCAGCACCGACCCCTCCCGCTAGTTCCTTTGGGGCTGCAGCTCCTGCTGTGCTGACAGGAGAGGCCAGGGGTGAGCTCTGGGGCCACTGCCCTTTCCCAGCAAGGGCCCCACTTCCAGGATGGTAATCTGAGTGAATGAAGAGTGGGGCTGAGTGAGAAGATGAGGAACCCCTCAGCTGGACAGGCCTGTGTTCGAGTCTTCCCTCTGCCACTGCCTTGGGCCAGCACTTACCCTGAGATTCTGCTTCCCTCTTGGAGTGGAGGTCAGGCTGGGTCCACCTCCCACTCCTGAGGGTCCACAGGACAGAGTGTGGACTTGCTTTCACTCAGTCCAGTACATGGTGAACGGCACCATGATGGTCACTGCCTCTCATCCTGAGGCTGTGGCCCTGTGCTGTGTGCTGGGGTGCAGGGGGGCCACCATGCCTTTCCCTGGGGGGTCGAACACCTAGAACACCTGCACACCTGGCTGGTTCCACTCAGTGGGAGAGGCGCCCCTGAGACCAGGAACCCAGAGCTCTCAAGAGCCCTGTGGTGACCAGCTGGCCCAGCTGGAGCAGGAGAAGGGTCTGCAGCTGCCAGCCTGGCCTCTCAGAGCCTGTGATCTGCCAGGAGGAAGTCTGTCGTGGACACCGCCAACAGGACCTGTACAGGTACATCCAAGCACTTCCGGCTGTGCGGAGAGCAGGTGAGGCTGCTGGACACACAGGGCACCCAGGGAGGGGTCCTCTTGGTGGTTCAGACCCTCTGGACAAGCTCAGGGTGGGGGCAGGTCTATGTCCTAGCAGAAAAAAGGGCAAGGGACTCTGGGGTCAGAGTGGCCACCGAGAGAACTAGGCCACCACTGCTTATTATGTCCTGCCATACTCTGGACCCTGGCCAGGGACCTGGGGAGGGAAGAGATGGGCTTGCTTCTGCTGGTGGGTGGGTTGGGGTCTCCCCTACAACTCCCCATGCTTCTGGAGCCTGGAACAAGTAATTTTCTGGAAGAGGGGACAGTCCTGCAGCCCTGCCCCTCTCTGCTGGACAATCTGTTTCAGGCCCTTTAACTCCGTAGCTGGCCCTGTCCGACTCTCGGACCTTCGGCCTCACGTCCCTGCCATCCAACCCCAGAGGAACTGAGGGGTGGTGAGCCCTCAGCTCAGTGAGGAGACTCAGCTGAATTGCAGAGCAGGGGCAGTTGCTGGACACGGCTCCCTGGGGTTTGCCTGGACAGGATGGGGAAGCGGCCGCGTGTGCTTCAGGGTTGTGTGTCTGCGCATGTGCACACCTGTGTGTGCAGCGCATGTCTATGCCTGTTTATACACATCTGTGTGTGCACATGTCTATGTGTGGACAGGTTGCACATACATAAGCCCGTATGTGCACACATGCACACACAGGCCTGCAAGCATGTGTCTGCACGTGCACATATGTAGGCATGTCATTGTGTGTACACATCTGTGTGCATGTCTCTGTGTACACACATCCCTGTGTACATGCATGTATATTCACATGTATGTACATATAACTGCACACAGGTGTGTGTATATGCACATGTCTGTGTGTGTAAAAGTGTGCGCACAATTAAGTCTGTGTGTGCACAAGTCTGTGTGTGTGTGTACAGGTCTGTGTGTGTGTGTACAGGTCTGTGTGTGTGTGTACAAGTCTGTGTGTGTGTGTACAGGTCTGTGTATGGATATGTATGTGTGTATGCACTGTATGCACAGGCCTGTACGGGCACAAGTTTGTACATGGGTGTATGCACACTGATCTGCTCATGGATGTTGTGTGCGCACATGTGTGCAGAGGTCTGTGTGTGTACACACATAGGTGCATAGGTGTGGAAGGCAGGCCTGTGCTGGTGTCATCGGTCAGCTCCCTCTGGGACAGCAGAGTCAGGGTCTGAGCCATACATTTGGTGGCAGTTCGGCCCAAGCTGCAGTCCTGGTTGCTGTGTCACTGAGCTAGTGACCGGGACAAGCCTTGAGCACTCTGGTCCTTCCTCCACGCTGCCCCCTTCAGCCCCAGCGTGCCTGGAAACAGTGTGGGCCCTTGCGGTTCGCTAGCTGGGCTCCAGGCTCCACGTGTAAGTGTGGGCACTGCACGCACTGCCCTGAGCCCAGCACGAACCAAGCCGTGTCCAGTGTCCCCTCTGCTCCCTGAGGCTGGGGCAGTGGGCTCTGCAGGAGGGCTGACACAGACTCAGCTCTGAGGGACAGCAGTACCCCTTCCTGGTCCCCTCTCCTTTCGGAGAGATGGCGGCCACTTCCTGCCTGGCTGGACGACAGCCTTTGTTGGCCGCATCCCGTCTCCCTCCTCATCTCCTCACCTCCCAGGAGTGTCCGCCGGACGGGAGGAGCTTCCGTGAGGAACAGTGTATCTCCTTCAACTCGCATGTGTACAATGGGCGGACTTACCAGTGGAAGCCACTGTACCCCGGTACCTGCCTGGGCCCCCCTGGGTGGGCAGAGTGGGGTTTCCAGCCCCCACATAGGAAAGGTCCTCTCCCAGGGAGGTGACAGGAGGGCATGACCACACAGACACCGGCTGGTCAACCAATGGCAGGCCAGTGGAGAGGTGGGGCACTGAGCTGCAGAGGGGGTGTCTCTTTGAGGTCACCAGGTGATCAGCTTCAGAGCTCTCCTCATGTGGCCTCATGACCCCGGTGCCCTGACATGGTGGCCACCCACTGAGTGGGGGCTGTGCTGTGCAGTGTGGCCTCCCTCCCTCCTGCCCTCCAGCCCCCTCTCTGGGCAGGGTAGGGTGGGAGAAATAACAGGTCAGGCTGACCCCATAAATGAGCTGTCCCATGGAGCAAGCTGGGGGCTGGGGCTCAGTTCCCCTGGGGAGTTCACTAAGGGTCTCAAGGCCACTTAAAGGGCTGCAGATAGAGGGGGGATAGGCCACGTGTGTCTTGACCTATTTGTATCACTGACACCCTGAGCCAGGCCCTCTCCCTCTCCAGGCCCAAAATCCCCTTAGCCCTATCTGTCCCCCCAGAGCACTGTCCTGGTGAGAGGGGATCATCTTTCAAACCCCCCGTCCCATGAGCCCTGCCCCCACTGTTTATTCCTGACCTCAGTTTCCCATCTATTCATCCAGGAGAGCTGTCCTTGTGGGAGGGGCTTGTCCTTTTGCTAAGGAGCCCCTGTCCGCTGTAGAGAACTACATCCATTACAGGCCTCAGTTTCCCATCTGTCCTGTGGGAGGGCCCATCCTCCCGCCCCGCCCCCCAGGCCTCAGTTTCCTATCTGTCCGGTGGGACGGCCCTGTCCTTGCGCGCACGCGCCCTCACCAAGCTCTGTCCCCGCAGACGACTACGTCCACATCTCCAGCAAGCCCTGTGACCTGCACTGCACCACGGTGGACGGCCAGCGGCAGCTCATGGTGCCCGCGCGCGACGGCACGTCCTGCAAGCTCGCTGACCTGCGCGGGGTTTGCGTGTCTGGAAAATGTGAGGTTGTTAAACGTTGTAGCAAACTCCGCGGCTCTCCTCGCGCCGCCCCCGCCCGCCCACCCCGCCGGCCCCGCGCGCCCAGCGGCCTCTCCTCCCTCCGCAGCCCATCGGCTGTGACGGCGTGCTGTTCTCCACGCACACGCTGGACAAGTGCGGCGTCTGCCAGGGCGACGGGAGCAGCTGCACGCACGTGACGGGCAACTACCGCAAGGGCCACGTGCACCTAGGTAAGGCCCGGAACGCCCACGGGGGACGTCAGGGGGCATCACCTGGGTAAGGCCCGGAATGCCCACGGGGGAGGTCAGGGAGCGTCTACCTGGTGACGTCAGAGCGTCCACCTGGGGAAGACCCTGAACGCCCACGGGTGACGTCAGGGCCACGTGCACCTGGGTAAGGCTGGAACGCCCACGGGGTACATCAGGGCCACGTTCACCTGGGTAAGGCTCAGAATGCCCCCGGGGGACGTCAGAGGGGCATCCATCTGGGTGCGTCCACCTGGATAAGGCCCCAGAATGCCCTCTGGAGTGATGTCAGGGGGACGTCACCTGGGTAAGGCCCTGCAATGCTCACCAGCATGACATCAGCGGGGGCGTCACCTGGGTAAGGCCCCAGAACGTCCACCCGCGTGATGTCCGGGGAGCGTCCACCTAGGTAGGGCCTAGGAGATGGCCACCTGGGTGACAACTGGGAAGTGCCCACTTTGGTAAGGCCCCCAGGAGTCCGGCCACGTCGCCTCTGCGCTTTCCTTCCCCCTCGGACCACTTGTTCATCCACCCAGACCCTGGGGGTGGTCCTTGCTCTGGAAGGCCTGCGCAGTGACCAGGGAGTGTGGACTTGGGTGTGAGCTGTCCACTGAGGAGGGAGGGCCACGAAGGCAGTGGACAGCGCTCATCCCGCCCACTCTTGAGCACCTGTGATGACCTTTGGTTGCACAGTGATTAAGTACAACATTACGACCTAAAAAGGCGATGGTTCGGATCTACCAGCTGCTTTACAGGAGAAAGATAAGGCCGTGTGCACCCTGGTCAGGCCTGTGGGGCGGTCTTGCTCTGTCCTGCAGGGTCACTAAGGCAGAGTGGACCAGAAGTTGTGGTGTTTTCAGGGTCTGTGTGGGGTCCTCTGGGAACTACCCATTTGGGGGGCTCTGCTCACATCTCCTGGTATCTCCACTGGGCTGGCCCTTCTGTCCCCACTGCAGACTTGAGCAGGGAGAGAGGTTGAGAGACTGGTGGAAGGTCCCAGCCAGCAGCCAGCCTGGATCCTGGCTTGATGGTTCTAACCCTCCAGCTGTTCTCTCCCCCCAGAGTCGAATGCTCACTGCTCTGCAGCCATGGTAGGGGCCACGGAGTGGACTCTGGCTCACCGTGCTCCTGTGAGAACAGCAGCGTGAACCTCGCCAGGTCCTGCTCCGTGAGGGTCTCCCTCTTCCCCCTGAGCCTCTGCCCACCTGGCATGATGCTCTTCTTTGATAACAAACCCACAGGGTGTGAGACGATGCCTCATCACCCAACCTTCTGTGGAGCATTCTGGCAGCATCTTTTCCAGGTCAGGTGGAATCTTTAGTTCTAACTAAAAATCAAAGTATATACAGACATTAAATAATATTAAAAGCAAAGGTCATGAATAGCCCCAGGCTACAGACCGGCTGCACCACGATCCTCTACTCCGGAGCTTGTCCCAGGGTGGAAATACTGCAGGCCCCCCACCTTTGAAGGTGCAGCTCCCCTCCTGCCCAGCAGCTCTCGGGCGTGTCCTGAAGCCTCCCTGCTCACCTGTCTCCCTGAGAAACATTCCTGAGACTTCGACTCAGAAGAACATTCCACGTCCTCCTGATCAGCACGTGAAACTGAGAATAACCCGAGCGTACAGTGAAGTAGAGTCCTGGGCCTTAACGCTGAGTGTGCCGTGCTGTTACCCAAAGGTCAGTGGTTCGAAACCACCCACCACTCCTCAGAAGCAAGCTGGCTGTCCCCACATGGAGAGTCACAGAGGGACACTGGGCCGTGCACTGGCATTGGGATTCTGCTCTGGTGTTCCGACAGTGATGGCAGGGACACTGTGATTGCTACAAAAACCATACAACGTAGAAAAAAACGGAGGTTCCGTGTTGTCCCCGGGAAGGACTTGGTGACACTGCTCTGGTGGTTCACTTCAAAACGAATGCTGACTGCCAGCTTAGTCTTTGAAATGTTTCCAAAAAGTGCAACTCCTCTTCTGATTCCTTTCAGTTAGTGGGAAGAGGTCCCGGTGCAGGTGTTCTGTAGAAGTGAGGAGAACTTTGGAAAAGCAGGAGATGCCTGTATATATCAGATAGAAACAGGAACCCCGGGGGCGCGGCAGTTAAAGCTCTTGGGTGCTAACTGAAAAGTTGTTGTTTTGTGCCGTCAAGTCTAGTCTGACCCAGGATGAGTTTTCAGAGGGAGATTACTCACCCTTCTCTTGCGAGCCGCTGGTGGATTCAAACTGTGTGCCTTTGGGATTACAGCGCAGCTTCTTACCACTAGGCCACCAGAGCTCACTAACTGGAAGGTCTGAAGTTCAAATTCACCTGCTGTCCTTCGGGTGAAAGGTGACATGGTCTCTTCCCGTGAAGATGACAGGCTTGGGGACTCCCCTCCCCCGGCAGTCCTGTGGGGTCTGCCAGGGTCGCTGTTGATCACAATCGTCAGGACGCCAGGAGTGGATTTGGTTGTGTTTCTGGAGGACTGTTCTCAGCGGGCAGTGCCTGCTCTATGGTAGCAAGGTCCAGCTTGCATGGAAGAGACCAGAGTTCGAGTTTCAGACCAGGTACCCCCATCCAGTGGAAGCATGAGTGTGGCTGCGATGTCAGGCTGCGACCAAGCAGAGAGAAAGGCCTGGCTTCTGAAAACCAGCCAGTGAAAGCCCTGGGGATTGTCACCGCCGCGGGGTGGCACAGGGCAGACAGGTCACCACCCCAGCTGCAGCCCCGGCTGCTCCTTTGGGGACGGCACTCTGTAGCTTCTGTCACGCGTACCGGGGGCCTCAGTGGAGCCCGCTGACCATGGCCGGTGCTGAGGAGAGGCCTGGCTGGGGTGAGTGGAGGATCTGCACCTGCCCCACTCTTCTCATCCACATCTCTGAAAGGAGCAGGCCGTTAAATCCCTCGGTGGCTTTGGCACCGGGCAATGTAGGCACACCGTCAGTGTGATCCCAGCACGCCCAATGCCGGCACCCTGCTGTGCAGAAGCCACCCCCCAGCACTCAGCAGAACAGTGAACCCGAGAGTCAGTGGAGGAAGTTGAGGTCAGCCTAGTGACCGGCACTTGAGAAAACTCCCGGACATTGGCTCTGTGTATTTAAAGGCCCCGTGGAGGAAGGGAGTTCTAGGGATACAAACATGAATTCACTCAGCTGCTGAGAGGTTGAAGGTTTGAGCCCACCTGGCTCCCTCAGGAGAAAGCCCTGATGCTTTACTTTACAAACACCAGCCGCTGAAAGCCTGGTGGGACGTGGCTCTTGGAGGCCGCTACCTTGGTGGCCACAGGTCTCGACTGGAGATGTGAGGGGCGGGGGCAGGTCGCAGGTTATAGTCAGGGTGGGAGGGGAGGCGAGGTCTGGGGTGGGGGTCAGCCTCTCCGTCAGCTACAGGCGTCTCCACTCAGGCAGAGGGTGACTGTGTGACGGGTGGGCAGGCCCTGGGCTTTGCACTGCAGCGGCTCACCATGCCCCTCCCTACAGGCTACTCTCTGGTGACCCACATCCCAGCTGGAGCCAGACACATCCAGGTGGTGGAGAGGAAGAGATCTGCGGATGTCCTGGGTGTGTGCGTGGGCGGGGCCTGTCCCCATGGGGCGGTGGGGGAAGGGCTCTTGTCCCAGGACCTCCTGCAAGAAAGGTGGGGCTCCAGGAGCCATCAATGGGGGGGGGGGAGGCAGATTTAACACCTACATATATGCACACACATGTAAACACACCTGTACTAACATGCAGAGATACACCTACACACAGTGTGCACCCGCCCTGCCAGGAGGCAAGACCTTGACCAGAGCTGTCTGCCAAGGGTGGGGTGTGGCAGGCAATGAACACCGTGAGACCAGAGCCTGGACATGAAGCTGGGGTGCTGGGGGTGGGCCCCTGCTCTGGTGCGAGAAATGAGATGGTTAGATTAGAGCTTAGAGAGGTTGGTCTCTGACCTGAGGCCTGAGTTGGGTGTCAGGCTTGGTCCTGGGGGCTCTCTGGGCAGTTACGACACTCAGATCTGGGGGGAGGTTGGAGCTCTGTGAGGCAGGGCTGAGGATGGTGTCTCACTGGGGGAGTTAATGTGTAGGGAGAAGGGACCCTCTTTAGGGGTTCTTTGCATATCGGTCTAGATGGCAGTTCCTGGAAGGTCCAGGTGTCTTGAGTGGGGGCATCTGTGCCTGTATCTCCTTGGCAGGGTGAGGCCGAGGCCCCCTGAACAGGGTAGGCAGGTGTGAGGACACTTGGGAGCCTGTACTTCTGAACTGTATGCGGGCAGAAGTCGTCCCCACGGGCCTCAAGCTGGGACCATGGGCTGTTCTCAGAGTTTGCCATGTGCCTCCGTGGGTGTCGGGATAACAGGAAACCCGCCTCTCAAAGAGATACCTGGGAGGTTGGGAGAAGCTTGGCCAGGGTTCTCCGGGCTCCCCTGCCACTGTTTGGAGCTGACAGAGCAGCTCACCACAGCCCCAGTGTCTGCACCTTGTCTGGGCCCATGGGTGCTGGGCCGCTGGGGAGGCTCTGTGGCCCACTGAGGGGGAATCTGGCCGTGGGGAGAAAGACCATCACTGGCAGCAAATGGGGTTTGGATGCCGGCCAGATGCTCGCCCAGTGTGGACACCTGAGGCTGTCACGGCACACGCTCCAGCAAACGCTGATGTCAGCATGTCCACGCTGTTCTGTAGGCAAGGTCTGCTGGCCTCTGTCCACAGTACACCTCTGAGCTGCACCTGGCTCACACTGCACCAGGAGTGAGGAAACTGATCTTCCTTCCCCCGGGGGCCAGCTCCCGGGCTTGGCCTCCAGGATGCTCTGATGGACAGCTGCCCCTGCATGTCCACGCTTTACGCCCCCTGCCTGGGAGCTTTTGGGACTGCAGCTGGCTCCCTGTAGTGTCGGGGGAGATGCCCTCAGGCCCTGGGGATGTTGAGGGATGGCTGCTGGTTCCTGCCTTCCCAGCCTTAATTCAGCTCAGCCAGGCCCCCAAAGTGCTGCACTCCAAGTGCCCCTTAGATCCCTGGGCCTGGAGACTGGGGAAGTGTCCCTGGCCACCCTCCTGGCTGACATCCCAGCTAGGGTGCAAGGCCCACCAAGGGGTGGTCAGTGTGGTTGTGCCAACAAAGGCAGGAAGGACATCGAGTCCAGAGGGAGCAAGGGCCAGGCAGCTCAGGATGGTCTCGAGGAGGCTCAGCCATGCCAGGGCTGTGGTGCCTTCCTTATCACCCAGGAACAGGCTCAGAAGATGGGCCTCGTGCTCGCCAGAGGGCTAACAGACTGAGCTGGGTGCCTGTTCCATCCCTGGGGAATTCCTGTCCCTGAGAGACTCCTGCTTGTATCTGACAGATGCCTGTCCTGTCCCTAGAGGACCCTGCCCTGCACCTAGCAGATCCCTGCCCTGAACTTGGTGGATGCCATCCCATACCTGGTGGACCCCTGTCCTATCCCTGGCCGACTCCTGTCCCTGACACACTCTACCCCATACCTGGAAGATGCCCAACCTGTCCCTGGAGGACACTGCTCCCCCCTGTTGGCCAGTGTGACCTCCCTGGCCACTGTATTTCCCGGGTCAGTCTTGGCTGCTGACTTTGGCATTGACTTGCCCCCTCATAGCCACTTGGCTCCTTCAAAGGCCCCAGTGACCCTCGCCACACCTTGGTGGTCATCTACACAAATTCTTGTTGGTGATTTTTGGCTCTTAATTAAGAAAGCTCCTTTCCTCTCCTAGCTCTTGCTGGCCAGGGCCACATGGTGGGCAGAGTGTCCACTTTGGGCTTCCTGTCCTCTGGGGTGTTAGGGGAGGTTGTGAGGACCAGGGGCAGCAGAGTTCCCGAGTGTGAGCTGGCTTCTCACCAACTCCACTTCACTCCAACTGACGTCGTCTCGTAATTGACGCCTTTGCCACTCCAGCTCTTGCAGATGAAGCTGGCTATTACTTCTTCAATGGCAACTACAAGGTGGACAGCCCCAAGAACTTCAACATTGCTGGCACCGTGGTCAAGTATCGGAGGCCCATGGACATCTATGAGACTGGCATTGAGTACATTGTGGCCCAGGGGCCCACCAACCAGGGCCTTAACGTCATGGTGCGTAAGCCGCGGACTGGGGTAGGGGACCGGGGCCATGCAGGGTCTCTCACAGCCAGGCCGCTGGGCTTGAGACTCGCTCGTTCACTCCCCCAGCCAAGGCCGCACGTCATGGTGTGCGGGCTGCAGGTGGGTATGGAGTTGACAGGGTTTTACTGCCAGGGTGGTGGGCTTGGGAATTGCTCCTTCACTTCCTCCATCATTCAGGTGATGACCCAGCTTCCAGGTCACACTCCCTTAGCATCTCCTTGACGCATTAACCGTTCGTTCTTTGACCTACCTGACCACTCAGCGACCTGTGTCCTTCATTTCCTGCCCTCCTTCCCCCACTCACTCCACACCGCTGACTGCACTGAGCATGCTCTGTGCCCACCTGGTCCTCGCCCCAGGACCTCTGTGGGGGGCTGAGGACAGGTCAGGAAGTGAGGGCTGGGAACAGGGAGATGGAACTCCACGTCGCCTCCTTGTTCCGTTTCCACTTACCCGTGGACCTGTGATACTCTGCCAGTCCTCAGTGTGGGCACAAGGACGGGCCTGGCTTTCCCCTTGCTCTGCCCTCAGAGGGCTCAGGGCTCAGCTGTGGGTAGATAGCTTCGGCCTGCTGGGCCCACCTCACCTTGAGGCTCCACCATGACTAGTGAAAGCCATTCAGCTTGGGGGCCCCAAGATCAGCTGGAAGGCTGGATACTAAAATGTGTGACATTGAGATGGGCAGTCTGGGATTCTCCTCACACATGGAGGGTGAGGAGGTAGAGCCCAGGTGGAATCTAGATGGACATGGTTAGTGTCCTTACTTCAGGGCTGGAATGTGGGTGCAGTGAGGGCAGTGACCTGGGCAAAGTCAGGGGATTGTAGGTAGAACCTCAGGGCTTTGAACCCAGGCCCACCTGATCTAGAGTGGCCGTGGTAGAGGGGCCACCACTCCAGTGCTCCCTCACTATTATCTCTTGGCTGAAGATTTCCCAGGAGAAGGTCTCTCTGCGAGGGTCTCCTCTTCCTAGGCCTTGCTTTGCTCATCTAGTCTTCTCTTGTGTTACCTCCTGGCTGGAGAGCTGGCCTATAGATCAGGTTCTGCAGACTTTGAGGAGGGGATTTGTGTGCCAGAGAGTTCAAAGGAGAAGGGTCGTGGATGTCCTCCTTGAGGGAGTGGGGTAGATAGGACTGACAGAGGGACAAGGGACGTGCTGGGCTGGATGCAGGCGTGGCAGGACCTCAGCTGACCTCAGGGGACTTGTCCTCCCTGAGGGCACCAGCTAGTCCATGGTGGCTTTGGGAGGGGCAGCTCCCATTAACAGGGAAATTCCTGAGGATGGACGCAGCTTTGAACTGTCCACAATTGACTGTGGCATGCTGACAGCTTAAGAAGAAAAAAAAAACAAACCTGCCTTATTCTAAAGAGAGATGCTTGGAGCACACCACAGCGTCCATTCTAGTCCACTCTTGGGGGCTGCTTGAGTCCACTTGTTTTGTTTAATGAGTTTGTCTAACAAGAGAACAGCTCATTTAGGGCTCTGCTTGGTGTCCTCTCTCAGGAGGACAGCAGGAAGTGGGGTAAACTGCAGCCAGGACGAACAGGCTCCCTAGGTTACACGCTAGCCACTTCTTATCTTCAGCCCTTATCTGTGCTGGTCTAGGTGACGGATGTGGTGGGTCACCCAGCCCCTCATCCCTGGGCCATCTGAGTTCCTGGTCTCCATGCCCTTGACAGGCCAAGGCTGTCATTGACTGGGAAGCAGGCTGTTTAGAGATGTCCCAGCAGCAGATCAGCTAAGTGCCACATGGCCTCCCCTGTCCATGAGGTCAACAGCTCCTGCCAGAGCCGTGATTTACTTCCTTGCCTGCCGAGCTCTTGGCACAAGGTGCCCAGATAGACTTGGTGTCAGTTATGGCTTAATGTAATGAAACTTTCCTTGGCTCCCTGTGGAAGTGCCTCTCCCTTGGAATCAGGATTTCTAGACCCCAAGGTCCTCAGCGCCACAAGGTTGGAAAGCATAAAATGTCCAAGTGGGTCACTAGGAATGGTAGTCATTTCTCCTTCCATTTCATGGTTTCCAAACCCATGCAGATCATCTCTTAGGGAAACTTCTTGTTGTTGTTATGTGCCATCGAGTCACCTGAAACTCATAGCAACCTATGTACAATAGATATGAACCCTGTTCTATCCTGAGCCAGTCTCACTATCTTTGACACACCTACCTCTATTACCCTAGTTACTGTGTAATGGGGACCTAGTGCCGCACAATTACCATTGACTGGAGTGTGTGCAGCAATACTGTTACCTATGCAAGAGATTCAACTGAGTTTATCATAAAAAATTATGATCCCAACGTTGTGAATGATAGAAAGTATATATTTGTGCTTGTTCAGAATGTATCTCTATGTTCAAACATTATATAGTCTGAAAACATATAGTCTGAAAACATAGATTGATTCTGAATATATAGATTGATTCTGAATATATATAGATTGATTCTGAATATATATAGATTGATCCTGAATATATATAGATTGATTCTGAATATATATAGATTGATTCTGAATATATATATAGAGTATATATGTTCTGGGTATATAGATTCTTAATATATAGATAGATGATTCTGAATATATCTAGGTATTCTTCAGGTAGGATAAGGGGATACTGCATGGCTTAATATTAGGAGAAGTATGTGATACAGTTATATTCTTTCACCATACTTATTCAGTCTGTTATGCTGAGCAAATTATGTGAGAAACTGAACTATACGAAGAAGAAGGAAGCGTTAAGATTGGAAGAAGGCTCATTGACAACCTGCAATGTGCAGATGCCATGACTTTCCTTACTGAAAGTGAAGAGGACCTGAAGCACTTACTGATAAAAAGAAAAGGCTTTAATTATGGGTTACATCTCAACAAAAAATGAAATCATCACAACTGGATCCAAAAGCAACTTCATGGCTAATGCAGAAAAAATGATGTTGTCAAGGATTTGCTTTTACATGGTGCACGGTCAGTGTCCATGGGAGCGGCAGCGAAGGAGTCAAACGACATACAGCATTAGGACAACCTTCCACAAACAAGGCCTTTAAAATATTCAAGTGCAAACATGTCACTTTAAGGACTTAGGTGACCAAGAAAGAGAGGAAGACCAATGATGAGGTGGATTGATCCAGTGTCTGGGGTAATGGGGGTAGGTGTGTCAGAGACAGTAAAGTTGGCTCAAGATAGAGCAAGGTTTAGGGCTGTTGTACACAGGGTCTCTATGGGTCGCAAGCGACTTGACGGCACATAACAACAACAATAATGTGATTGTAAAAACTGGACAATAAACAAGACAGAGGAAGGACTGATGCCTTTGAATTATGATTTTGGTGAAGAATATTGAATGAACTGAATGGAAAAAAAATCTATCTTGGAAGAAGTACGACCAGAAGTCTCCTTACCTGGAAGAAGGTGAGACTTTGCCTCATGTACTTTAGACATATTATTTGGAAAAACCAGTCCCTGGAGAACATCATGCTTGGTGAAGCAGGAGGTTAGCATTAAAGAGGAAGACTGGCAGAGCAGTGTATCGGCACAGTGACTGCAGTCGTAGGTTCAGTTACAGCAAAGATTGGAAAGGTGGTGCTGAGCCAGGTAGTGAGCTGTCAATGGGGCTGTGTGTCAGAACCAACTTGGTGACCCCTACAGCCACAGAAGAAATAGCATCTAGGACGTCCCAAGCCATCATCTTCACAAGGTGTCCTTGTCTCTGAGCTGGTAGCAGCCTTCAGTGTCCACTGTACTACCAGGCTGGCAGTTTCTTGGGCATGCATAATGATAGAACCAGTGGAACTGTAGCATGTGTACACTGTGGTACCTCTCTGGTCATAAAGAGTCATTGGGTCTAAGGCAGTCCCCATGTGGAGGATTGGGACAGGGCATCACATATCGTGTGAGACCTTGTAGATATTGGGACTGGCTGGGTGAGCCCTGTGGTCGAGAAATGCAAAGCCATACTTGGAATAAGATTGATCACTTCTTCCCGGATGGAAGCGGTCCAGTGTAATCAACTTGCCACCCCGTGGCCGAGAGTTCCCCTTGATGAATGCTGCTGTGTCGGGAGCTCAGAGTGGACCTTGGTTGCTGCATGCTGAACTTGAGAGTTCATGATGTTGTGTCCATGATGAACTTCCAGCCTCAGCACCACAGTCCACTGGGCCTTTTCTGGTGTTACTGATGCTGGAGGCTGACAAAGCTCTTCTATCTGCTACTTTGCTGTTTATTGCCTCCACAGTGTGTTGTCTCAGGTGTGCACTGATGATGCAGAGACAGCCACACTGCTGCTTCCTGGATTCACCCGCAGTCTCTCACCTAGGCTTCTCCATCCAGTCCCCTGGACAGCCAGCCAAGCCATCAGCCACTGCCAGTGAGTCAGCATGAACTCTTCCCTTCCACCACATTGTTAGAAGTGCAGAGTCAGTGGCCATAGGCACAGCCTGAAGCCCACTGTTGTCACGTCAGTGCCTCAGATCCACTCTTGGGTAGGCTGTAGAATGCAACTGTACATCTACCTCTCAGATCAAGCTGCTCTCTTAGGCTCAGCTCACTTTCTTACTCTGAGACGACTTATCTCTGAACCAAGCTTGGCCATTTCCCCTTTCTCACTTCATGATAAGGAGCCATCGGTGTGAGCTGAGAGGAAGTTGCTGATGCAAGCAAGAGCCCTGGTGAACAGGAGTGTTTGAGTCACCTGCTCATGCAGCTTCCTTGTACTCCATGCCCTGATCGTGTCTGATCCTGAATGTAACACTTTTGATGGATTGCTGCTGGAATTCCCAACCATATAATTAATTCTGTTGACTTGATGGAATCCAGGTTTTAAAGGTTGGTTCTGGCTAGATGGGTCACTTGATGTCCATGGTCAGTGTATCATTTCTTTCAAGACTCAGAGACATGATGGGAACAAGCATACTTCTCTGCCGCAGGTGCCCTGGCTTCCCCTCACTCCAGAACCCGTGATTTTCCTATTGAGACTTAGCATAGACTCCCCAAGATACCTTAAGATTTATAAGATGCTGCCCACCACAGAATTCTGTTACAGGATCTGCCAATTCCTATAAGCCTCAGTGGTATGACCTCTTACACCAGAGGCTGGACCTGCTACAAAGTGAATTTTTTGCAGGGCTCCACTCAATACTGCCAGTCTTCCTAGTACATGAACCAAGAACCTTGGTGCTACGGCTATTAAAGCATTTGCCTGCTGGCCAGAAGCTTTGCAGTTTGAAGCCGCCAGTCACCTGAGGGAGCAGAATGAGGCAGTCTGCTGGCATCATGGCTACAGCTTTGGAGATACTATGGGGCAGTTCTGCTCTGACCCCGGGAGTCAGGATCCACTCTACAACAGTGGGTTACATGTTCTGACCATTGCCACCTGCCGCTGTCATGTCAGAACCCCGTTACTCCCTCTTCCCTCAGGAAGCCCAGTTCTGTAGCAGCACCTCCGTCATAGCCTGCCTCCAGAGGACACCCTGCTTCTCCCTAGTGTCACCTCTCATTACTCTTCTTTCTATTCTATGAGTGAAATGGCCTCAGGCCCTCCCGTCAGACCTCCTGATGGACTTCTAGCCTTTGTCTACCTTCCACCATCTGCCATGATATTCCCACCGTTTACCCTGCACTGAGAGTGGGCGTCACATCCTCCAGGCTTCCAAGATCCATCCCAGCAGTGTTTGAGTGAAGGTTCTCTGCTGTGTCCTACACAGTGAGATAGGGCAGCCTTTTGCAGGGGCCAGTGGGCCACTTGTTCAGCCTCAAAGTCAGAGGAAAATGGGATGCCTTCTTTTTCCAGCACATAGTTCCACAGCCTGAATCTCAAGGCCCCACTCTTCCTATCAGGCCCTGTTCTCTAGGTAATAGATGGAGCAGGATTCAACGCTCCACCTTCTCTGGTTCACTGAAGCTGAGGGCCTGAAGCTCAGTCTTATGAGTTGAATTCCAAAGTGGAAGAGTTTCCGTGGGCTGCTGATGGGACTTCTGGGTTAGATTTGCATCACTGGTTAAGGACCCTGGCTCGTGGAGTCACTTCTGACTGCATCACAGTGTAACAGTGCTCCATGGGGACTGCAGGGCGGAGTTGCCCAAAGTCCACCTCTGGCCCTTCCTTCTGAGGCACCTCTGGGTGGTCTTGAACCTCTAGTCTCTCAGCAGTTCAGTGAGTGCTTAACTGTCGGGCCCACCCACAATTCAGTCGTTCGCCCATTGCTGTTCAAGTCCAACTTACTCTGACCCTAAAGGACATCAAGCTCAGTAGAAGTGAGGGTCAGTGAAGAAGAGAGAGACCCTCAGTGGGATGTGGGGACACAATCGCTGCAACGAGCTGAAACGTCACGACAGCAGTGGATGGTGTGGTGTCTGGTGTCTCTATGAGCTGTAATTGATAGACCTACAACGGTGAAGGCAACATCGGGCAGAGCGGAGGCCACACCGGCCTTCCACGGCTGTGATTCCTAACAAGCAGAGCGCCACAGCTTTTCCCTGGAGCAGCTGGTGGACTTGAACTGCTGACCTACTGGTTCACATTCCAGCACTTACTCTCATGCTTTCATTGTCTTTTCCTGATGCTTTGGATTGCAGAAACAAAAACTCAAACTCATTGCGGAGTCAGTTCTGACTCTTGAGGACAGAGCAGAACTGCCCCGTAAGGCTTCCAATGCTGTGACTGTCACTGGGTCCACGGCCACCTCATTCTTGTGTGGACAGGTTGGTGCAGAGCACCGCCAGCGTCAGAAGCTGAGTACTTGACCACTGCGCCTCAGGGTCCCTTGGATTCTGCAGCTCCTTGATGCTCTGGAACCCACCCCGTCCCCAGCTACCTTTCCAGCACGTGGGACCTGGCACCAGCTGCCCAGCTTGCTCCTGGGGCATCCCATCCAGTTCCCCCTGAAGGAGCAGGGACCCTCCCTGGGATCTCTGAGGCTGCAAATATTTAGAGGAGGAAACGGCCTCATCTTTCTCCCTCAGAGAGGCTAGTGGATTTGAACTGCCAGCCTTTGGTTGTTAGCCTGACACGTCCCACACTACACCGCCAGGGCTCCATTCTCTGCACATAGTGCGGTCTCTGTGGTGGACTCTTCCACTGCCTCTCCTCTGGGCCCCTCTGCTTCCCGACCTGGACTCAGGTGGCCGTCAGGACAGGGCCATCCTTGCAGCTTCACCTGCTGGACTATGGCTGTGAGTTTTGGGCCAAGGTGCCACTTTCCCTCCTTCCTTCCCAGGTGTGGAACCAAAATGGTCGGAGCCCATCCATCACCTTTGAGTACACGCTGCTGCAGCCCCCGACGGACCACCACCTGCGGCCTCTCTACTACAGCTTCTCCCCGCCTGCTTCAGGGAGCGCCGAGAGCCAGGAGCTGGGCGGCACGTCCCTGCTGGGCTTCGTGCGTCACAACGGCTCACTGTACAGCCAGGCCTCCATGGAGCAGCTGGGCCTGGACCACCGCTTGTTCGGGTCTCCTGGGCCGGGGCTTGAGCTGGGCCTGGCCAAGGTTCCAGAGACCAACGAGGTGTGTGAAGAGGCCAGCGGCAGGGCCTGCGAGGGGCCCCCTCGGGGCAAGGGCCTACGAGGTAAGGTGGGCTGAGGTTTCCTCAGGCCGGACCTGGGGAGGGGTCCTCATCCTCTGGTGTCTGGACACGGCCTCACAGGTGTCTGTACAGGCAGGCGTGCCGCCTCTTACCGCGCTCCGCAGACGCTGACTTTCAAGGGGAAGTCCGTGTCTTGATCCTATCTCGCAACACTGTTTTCCCAGCGCATGAGCGCCTGTCGTGTCTCTGGGCCCATTTTTGTAATTCTCACAATATTTCATAGTTGTTCTGTCGCGCACACTAAAGGAATCTTGGTTGATGATACATATTGGGCTGCTGGTCAACATGTTGGCAGTTCAAATTTACACGTTGCTCCATGGGAGAAAGATGGGACAGTCTCCATCTGTAAGTGAGGCCGCATTTTCAAGTCCGGATCCATGGACCATGTAATGTGCTGTGCTGCTAACCGAAAGGTGGGCGGTGAGAGTCCACCGGCCGCTCTGTGAGAGGAAGATGAGCAGTGAGCAGGCTGTCCTCTCGTAAAGATTCACAGCCTCGGAAAGTCAGTGGCGGGTGACCAGGAGTCAGGATTGTCTGGATGGCTGTGGCCTTTCCAGTGTTCGACTGGAGGAGTCCTGGTGGCCTGTGGAGAAAGTGCTTGGCTGTGAATGGAAAGGTTGGTGGTTCTAACCTACTGGTTGGTCCTTGAGAGAAGCACGTGGTGGTCCACTCTGTCGCAGCCCAGCTGTGAAGCCCTCTGCATCAGTCTTCCTGTGTCCTACATGGCCGCTGTGAGTTGGAACTGACTCGATGCTGTGGGCTTCTCTGGGCTTTATCCAGCCAGATTCTCCTCCCTGAGGATGCTCGGGCAGGCTTGCTTGCCTCTGGTGACGAGGCACTCACTCCATGATCTGGACTGGAAGATGTTCTCTGCTGAGCTGCCCCTGCCCTCTGCAGCTTCCCAGCTCAGCTTCCTGGTTTTTCACTCCACACTCTGGTTCCTCCCCAGGCTGCCCTTGTCCCCAGCATGGGGAGCACTTAAAGCTGACCCACCTGTCCCCCTCCCGCAGACCGCAACACCACTGCAACAATTCTCTCGGGGGACAAGGATGACCAAGAGGGTGACGTCCCCTTCGGCTCCCCGGACTTTCTCTCGGCCAACGCCATCTCGGATCAGCTCCTGGGTGTGGGCTCGGACTCGAGGGAGCTCCCCCTCAATGAGACCGTCAACAGCATCTTTGGCCCAGGCGCTCCGAGGGGCAGTGGCCCCACTGACAGCCTCTATGTGGATTACGAGGAGAATGAGGGGGCAGGTGTGCACCTGCTCAATGGGTCCTACTTGGAGCTGCACAGCGACCAGGTCAACAACACCTCTTCTGAGGCCCCGTTCCCCAACGCCAGCGCCAGCCTCCCCAGCGTGGCCGGGAACAGGACCCACAAAGCCAGGTAGGAGGGTCAAAGGTCAGGCAGGTGGAGATGGGGGCGGGCGGGTGGTGGTGCCCAGGCCCAGGAGGTGCAAGGCCTCAACAACAGTGGTTCTCCTGGGAAGACTGTGGTCTTGGAGACAAGCAGGAGAGGCCACCACCTCCTGGAAGCCCCCACATCTAAGCTCTGGCTGGACCCGAATCCAGGAGCCCCCTCTGATTGGGGCCAGAGGGAAGGGATAACTTGAGGCAATTCCTGGATGAAGGTGTCCACCCACCAAGGGTGTCCTCATAACCAGGGGCCTGTGCTCCCCTCTGTTCTGTGGACAGCAAAGCTGGGGGCATGGACATGGCCAGGCTGGGTCAGGAGGGAGGGGCTTGAGAGGAGACAGAGCCACAAAGTCCTTGTCCTTAAACCACAGTGGTGCATGGATCTGGGGTTCAGGCCTGGGAAGCAGGTGCAGAGCTGGTGCCCTGGGGGTGACAGGGTGCTGCTTTTTCTGCCCCTGGAGGATGAAAGGGTCGCCCCAGCAAGTGCTGGCCCAGGACTCTCTGATACACCCCTTCTTTCCTCACTCTGCTTTCTGAGCCTCTATGCGACTCCTGGGGTGGGGAGCAGAGGCACCACCTAGGCTCTGAGTGAGAGTTTTCTTTCATAGATGTAGGCTAAGTAGGGGGGGGCTCCAGAACCTTCCACAGGGCAGAGCAGGCTGGTGTGATGTTCAGGGCTGCTCTCGGAGCAGGTGTTTAACTTGACTGAAAAACTGCAAACCAGACCTGTTGTGGGTCCACTGGGTCTTCGGTGACCCTGAGGACAGAGTCCAGCAGCCGTCTGAGTGTCCAGGCTGCTGTCTTCACAGAAGCAGACGCCAAGTCTCCCTCTCCTGAAGCAGCTGGTGGGTTCCAACTGCTACCCTTCTGCTTCGTGCAGCAGTGGAGTGCATAACGGCTGCACCCTCAAAGCCAATCGCACTGCCGCTGAGGTCAGCGGTTGGAATCTGCCAGCCGCCTCGGAAGGGAGGTGACAGTGTCCTCTGTCACAGCTTCATAGGCCGGCCTGGTGGAGGAGGCCTGAGAGTCTGAGTCGACTCGGTGGTGATGGCCTTGAACAGAACAGCCTGCAGTTTCTCAAGTGGTACAACCTCACGGAAGTAGACTGCCGTGTCTTTCTCCCTCAGAGGGGCTGGTGGATTTGAACCTTTCTGTTAGCGCGAGACTTCCTGCCCCAGGGCTCCCTAAGCTGGATGCAGGCTTGGAAGGTCCTGAGAGTTGTGTGGGCCATGGGCCGTGCTGCAGGATGCACCGGGCCCCCTCTGCTACCTGGCCACCAACTGGGCCTCAGTGTCCCCACTTCTGAAGTGAGGGGCTGTAGGATGGCACCTTGAGGCACTCGACAGCTTCTGAGGACGTCCAGTGTCACCCTAGTCCTGTCCCCCGTGGGCTCTCAGCGCCTGTCTGGGAATGTGACCTCGGATTTGGCAAGGTGGCGGCCCCCAGCCGGTGACCATCACACAGGAGCGAAGGGACAAAGACAGTCTGAAGAGATAAGGTCGATTGTGGCAGTGGAAAAGACCAGGCCAAAATAGCCTGTCTGGGCTGAGTTGTCCAAACACAGGAAATGGCGTCTTCCTGAAGAGGGTGAAATCAAAGGGGCGCCCAGAAAGGAAAGGCTATTTTCATCTCCTCAGAAAACTTCAAACAATCGAGGGAGGGGTAGCTGTCACCACCAGACCCTGGGCCCTGAGGGCAGAGAAAGGGATGCGGGTTTATAAACAGAAGTGGTCACATCAGAGTGAGTGACGGTTGGCTTCTCATAGGTAGTGATGGGGGGGGGGTTCCTCGACACCTCAAACCTGGGCACACCAGGGCTGTGGACAGGTCGCCCTCCGGGTGCAGGCCCGGGGACGCTGGTGGCCCGCTGTTTGCAGCGGTGTGAGGTGTGCAAACACGAGCAGGATCTCAGGAGGCCGCTGGCCCCTGTGCTCGCCTGCCCTGCCCTTGTGAAGGGCGATGTGGGGGCGGCTTCTCCATAGACACCTTTTGTGCTTGAAATGCAAGGGGTTGTTTTGAACGGGCCCCTCTTCTCTTGAGTCAGAAGTGAGTCACTCTGCCTGCTGGAGAGAAACGTGCAATTAGATAATCACAGCGGCTTCTCCATGGGTGGGGGCTTTCCAGGGACAGGATGGGTGGGGGAGATTCTCCATGAATGAAGAGCTGTCCTTGGACAGGAGGCCCTGTCTGCTCTCTCATCCTTCTCTCTTGCTCTGTCCTCAGGACCAGGCCCAAGGCACGCAAGCAAGGCGTGAGTCCAGCAGACATGTACCGGTGGAAGCTGTCATCCCATGAGCCTTGCAGTGCCACCTGTACCACAGGTACTGAGGCTGAGGCGGGTGCGGGTGGCCACCTATTGGGGACCATGGGCACTGGCCACCAGCTGAGGCAAGCCATATAGCTGGTATCCCTAAACTGTGCAGGGAGCCCGGCTACTGATGTCCTGGCCTGGGGACGCCTTGTACTGTGACTGTCACACAGAGGTTCCCCGTCCAAGGTGGTGCCCAGGCCCCCAGGAATGACCAGGCCCCCAAGTGCTCCTGGTCTATGTTGTTGATATTGCATCATTTTGAGGTTGACTCCAATCTGGTGAAAAGCGGGGGGAAAATGCTTTGAGGGTTTGCTGTTTATAGCCAATCCAGTGATGGGGGGAGGTGACCTGTGACCGAGGGACCTGATCGCCTTTTGGGTCTTCTGTAGTCAGACACAAGGTGAGCATGTATGTTGTTGGGATTTGAACTCCAGGTCAGCGCCCGCTTGCCTGGTTCCTGCCACATCCCACCAGGGCTGGGGGCTTGTATCTGCTGCCCCACTCTGGCCCCCACTTTTGGGTGGTGCCACCAGGCCAGGTTCTGGGCAATGGAGGGGGACCAGAGGCTGTCGAGAGGCCCTGAGTGCTGGGGGGAAGCGAGCACGTGGTGTGTCATTGAAGCAAGTGTAGAACACAGACGTGTGAGGGGACTGGATCTCCATGTGAGGCTTATAGCGAGAAGTGGACAGAGGAAAGAGAGGACTCTGGCTGTGGACGAGGGCTGCTCTCCCCATTAGACAAAGCTGTGCAGGAGTGAGAGGGAGTTCCCTGACACTGGAGAAGGTAGCACGTGGGGTCAGAGTGGCACCTGGCAGAAATGCCAAGGCCAGAGTGCTTGGTTTGGATGGATGGTTAAACCAGTGGTATCAAATACCCACTGCCTGATGGTGGTTCCTGTTTATAGTGGCAGCTGGGGCACCATTGTGCATTGCTGGTCTGCTACACAAAGTCAGTAGTTCAAACCTACTGGCTGCTTCCTGGGGGGAGAGATGAGCAGTTTCCTCTTATAAAGATTTAAAGTCTCGTGAAACCTGTGGAGGGTCACCGGGCATCAGAAAGTGCAGCAAAATCGGCCAAGCTTCGTCTCACATACTTTGGGCATGTTGCAAGGAGAGGCTATTTCTTGGAGAGGGACATGATGCTTGGGAAGCAGGAGGGTCATTAAAAGAGAAGGCTGTTGATGAGCTGGACGGGTGTGGTGACCGCAAGGATGGGCTGAAGTGAGGCGGAGATAGGACGGCATGGGAGAGGACAGGGCTCGCTCGGTCGTGGTTCACAGGGTCTCTATGAGTCGTACTCGACGGCACCTGACAACTACAGCAACAACAGCACCATGATGTGGTGGGTTTGGCTCCAGAACACTGCAATAAAGGAATCTAGAAGAAAGCATATCCCCACCCACCCCCTGTGCATATAAATTAAGCTCACACCGTATTGTAGTCAATGAAGTGTGCAGTAGCATTCTACAAAGGTGTGAACTATTGTGAGTGACCAAAATGAGACGCCGAGACACAGAGAGAGCACACGGTGTTGGAAAATGATACCAGTGGACTTCCAGGACTCACAGAGCCGCAGCCCTCCTGTGGGAGGCTGGTCTGTGCAGAGCGTGAAGAGGTCTGTGTGCTGGTGGATACCTGCCTCCTGCCCACACAGCCCATCTCCTGCCCGCCACCTGGCACACAGCCCCCCTCTGAGTGGATGCTGCTAATACTGGTGGGCATGACGGCCGGGATGCGGTTGTCTCCCCACCTCATGTGGCACGGCGGCGTGTCAACACCCAGCACCATGCCATCAGCACACACCGGGAGCTCCGTCTAGCCTTGCCGCGCCTCTGAGCTGAGCGCTGTCGGGTCAATCCCGGGAGACCCTCTGCCGGGTCATGGTGGTTCTGGTTCTGACTCACAGTGACCACGTGTACAGCAGGACGAAGCCCTGCCCCGTCCTGCACGGTCCTGGTCAGCATGGCTGCGTTTGAGCCCGTTGCCACAGCGACTGTGTCAGCGCACCACACTGTGAGTCTCTCTCTTCTTCACCGACTCTTGGTGAGTTCTACCAAACTCACCAAGCAGATGCTCTTCTTCTGGGGCCGGTCCCTCCTCAGAGCACGTGCAGAGTCCACCAAGTGGCGTCTCCTCACTTGGCTGTAAGAGGCACCCAGCTGCACTCCTTTCAAGCTAGGTTTGCCTGTTCTTCCACAGCACATGGTGTACTCAACATTCCTTGTCGACACCCGCCTCCGAGGGCGTGGGTTTCTCCTGGGCCTGCCTTGTCCACAGCCCAGGTCTCCCCTGTGGTTGCAGGTCATCACTCTCCCTGGAAGACTCTTGGAGTGCTAGGAACACAGGGTGGTCGTTTGGACTCTAGGGTCTCAGGCAGGACATCGTGGGTGAGGGTGTGTGGAACCAGCTGGTCCTCGAGCCTCAGTCCTGCTCTGGCCACTCAATGCCATTGTCTCCGCTGTGTCTGGGGCTCCTGGATCACATATATTCAAAGAAAAGGCATCAAGTCTAAGAGTCTGGCTGCACAGTGATTAAGCACTTGGATGTGAAAGGAAAGATCAGTGGTTAAAACCCATTCACCTCTTCACAAGTGGATGATGTGACAGTCTGCTTCTGTAAAAACGGCGGTCTGGGAAACCCCGGGGGCAGGTCCCCTCTGTCCTGCAAAGTCACTAGTCACAGCACGTGTCTCAGCGGCAGTAAGTCCAAGGGTTTTGTCGTCGTCAAGACTGGTGGAGTGACACAGCTGCAGAAAGCAGACACTTTAATTTGGCCAACCATCTGGGAGGTGGACCCTAGTGTTCCCATTTTGGGGGTGAGCAAACTGAGGCAGTGAGGGGTGTATCAGAGTTTTCCTGGCACATAGGGAGATTGAGTTGGGCTTGAATTCCAGCCCATCATAGTCCAGACGGGCCCCACAGCCTCTCCAGATGAGACCTGTCCCCCTGGGCTCCAGGAAGGGCTCCTGAGTCGATGTCCTGACCAGGCTGGCCAGGAGAAATTGAAGGCTGCACAGTGGTGCTGGTGGGGTAGGGCCCAGCCTGACTTCTTCCTGGTTGGTAAAGAAAAACTCCACCCTTGTGGTGGGAAGTGAAGCTTCAAAGTTTTCATTTGGTAGAGGCCAGCAAGGGTCTGGAGAGGCAGGGCTGGATCCTGGGAGGCAGGGATGACTTGGGGTCGGGGCTGGATCCTGTGATGAGGGGCTTGATCCTGGGAAGTGGGGCTTGATCCTGGGAGGTGGGGCTTGATCCTGAGAGGCGGGGCTGGATCCTGGGAGGTGGGGCTTGATCCTGGAGGCAGGGCTGGATCCTGGGAGCAGGATTTGTCCTGAAAGGTGGGCCTTGTCCTGAAAGGCAGGGTCAGTTTCTGAGAGGTGGGGCTTAGCACCAAGAGGCAGGACTGGTCCTGGGAAGCAACACTTGATCAAGAGGCAAAGCTTGTCTGGAGAGGCTGGTCTAGGTTCTGGGAGGCAGGAATTGTCCCAGGAGGTAAGGCTGGATCTTGAGAGGCGGGGCTGACTCCTGAGGGGCGGGGCTGACTCCTGGGAGGCGCGGCTGACTCCTGAGGGGCGGGGCTGACTCCTGGG